ATAATTATTGGAAACTCTGGAAGAAACAGGTGCAGTAAAACAAAAGCATGATATGAATGGTTTGATTTCTACTTTCATCTTTAAAAAATCATTCATTTTTCTACCTAATAACGTGAAACTATACTAACTTTTACGTGGAAACTTTTGTTAATCTCTTTATCCTTGAAATTATTATTAATACTAGCACGACATACGAGAGTGATGTTTAGCTAAGAGAGATGCCAAAATACGAGTATATAACTTAACCAATTACTTGCATTGATTAACTTGCACTGACCCAAAAATAAACAATTTCGATAATAAAAGTAAGATATTGAAAATCTTAGTATCTTTTTTAGAATCTTAGTATCGCTATTTTTTCAAACAAAGATACATAGAACGATGAGTGAGGTACAACAGCAATTCTATAATCGTATATACTTTGAAGGTAGACACGTCACGTCAAATTCTCTATGGCCTATACTGAATTCAGTGTTCTTTGTTTCATTTTTGTGAAATAATGAAAGATACAAAGAATTTTCCATAACAAAATAACAAAACCACAGAAAAATTGCATAAATAAGAAAGAAGAATACACCATACACGAAAATTATTCAAAACAATTCAATTGAAATAACAATACAAAACAAATAAATTGAAATAACAATACAAAACAAATAAATTAAATAACTGCAAAAGCGTCGCAAGCAAGAAGTGCTGCACTAAATCACATCAATCATACAAAAAATATAACTCAGTGCTCACTGCAGTGAGTGACAGAGAGCGCATTTTCTCGTCGACGAAAACTTGAGGTCACGGACGGACGGACGCACGGACAGACAAAAAATATAACTCAGTGCTCACTGCAGTGAGTGACAGAGAGCGCATTTTCTCGTCGACGAAAACTTGAGGTCACGGACAGACGGACGGACAGACAGACAGACAGACGAACGGACGGACATGGCGAGCACAATAGTGCATTTTTTTCATAAATGAGCAAATGCGCTAAAAATTGAAATGACTGCAAAGTCGTGACAGTAAATCACGCGATCAATGAAGACTCGCGCTGGTGAATCGATAGCCTTGCCATACATCACAGAGCGCAGGCACAGCGATAGGCACCTGCACCACGACTGCGTCTGGGCGGCGCGTCGTGATGCACGATCGATTCCTGTCCTGGACACGATCATCTGGAGGCAACAATTTACAGCTGAGAATATACTGCCTATAATATTTTATTATTAAATAGAAAAAATTTGAGTATACCATTGTCGCTAAAATATTAGTTTTATGATTATTATGATTATTATTATTATTATTATTATTATTATTATTATTATTATTATTATTATTATTATTATTGCAATTATTATTAATATTATTGAATTTCAATCCCCTAACTACCGGATATTCTAAAACTTTGCGTTACTACTCATAGTGATTCTCTTGTTCAAATTTTCAACTTGTATCCTATTTACGTGTATTTACGTTCTAATGTCCATCGAAATTTCATTAAAAAAATACTTCAAATCACTTGAAAATGAATGTTGTTGAATTAAAAACGTTGATAATAAAGTAAAATTAATTCCTTAAACCTGGTTTTTGCTCATTAAACGTCAACTGAAAAAAATTTTCGACTCCCTGTAAATTTTTTCTCAAATTCATTCTCTGGTCAGTAATCGTGCGTGTAGGAAGCAACTTCTGCCATCTTACGCTAATATTGTGAGTTGAGGATATCTACGTCGTGTAATACCTGAAATTTTCAGTACATTTTCAGCGGTGGGCTCATGAAGCATTCACGATTCATTCATGGGCATTTAAATTCAAGATTCAAGTTTCAGCTTCGAGTTTGTTTATAAAAACTGTAATATTTCAAATTTTCTTCAGATCTTCATAATATAGAAATTGAGTTAAACGGGCATATTTTCACTTATTTTTATCTCAAACTTAGAATGGAGCAGTATTTCCTATTAGGTTCAGTTAAGAAATTGCAAACATAACATTACATAGTGATGTCGGCGTTGAAACATAGTCCAGATGTGGCCTGTCGCCGATTCTTGTCCTATTCGTGACTTGTCCGTAGGAGATCCAAAAGCATGTCCTTTGACCGGATCTTCTCAGGACTGACGATAGTTTGAAGTAGCTACTCAACTTCCACCGGGTTCGATATGGTGCTTGGCATTTCAAATCTGAACATATATTTTTCCATAGCTTTATCTAGTCTGTTCTTGAACGCGTTCATACTTGGAGCGCCAACGATGTCATCGGGGAGGCTGTTCCACATGTCGGTGATTCGAAGCGAGATGATTTCATACTCATGATAGAAGACTTGATAGTCTTCTGATATCAAGTCAGAAAACTTGATACTCAACATGATACTCAATTTGGCAGTTATGAAGTAATTCACCCAATTGAGTTGCCCCTGTATTTGTGAACAAATTTGCAAAGAATCTAGTTATCATTTTGTGGAGATTTAATGCACGCGAAATGTGGTACTCGAAGAGAAACTTAATTAAATGTTTGTAATATTTGTAATTTGTTGCATAAGTTTGTGACTCGAGGAGATACTTAATTAAATATGTTTTTCTATTTGTTACATAAGGTTAAGAGGTATAGCATAAGGTTAAGTGAATACAACTGACGAGGTGTGAGGTGGCCTGAAATGATTCATTTATTATTAATCAAATGAGTTAACGACGTGTTACCAAGTTGGCCATTATTGGCCAACTTGGGTGGCCAACCACACACGTGGTTGGTCATTATTGTGAATAATGAGTATGAGTATGACATAGTAATATTAATCATAATCAAAGAACAAATGAGATTGGGCAAAGCTCCAGAGGAATGAATTTACAATTATTCGAAAAGAAACTTATGAATTAAATTTTGCAGTCTACTCCCTAAGTGCAGTCACCACACCGCATGAGTGTGGGAAATCAATACTAAAACTGCATAGGTAGTCATTTTAATTAATTTAATATAAATTAATTAAAATTAAATTTATTAAAAATTTACGGAAAAATAAACTAATTAACAATTAAATTAATTAATTAAAAATGCAAAGTCATTTTATTTCAAATGAATATTCTTTGAATGAATATTTATTGAATTATTAATATAATTGAATTATTCATATATTTACCTGCGCGGTAGGCTAACCGACGTTCATTTGGGCAAGTCGAACATAACTTCAAGCGATGGTCAAGGTCATGCCGACATTAAGGCAGGATTATGTTGCACCGAAAACAGGTACATACAAAATTAGATCTGTCATTGCAGCGAAGAATGAAATTTTATTTAGAGATTAACAAAAAAAAATATTTTTTTTCGTCGGCCTTCTGTCGACCGCTGGTACAATATTGTAAGCTGACAATGTATCTTTAAACTACGGCGCTACATGAATATTAGGTTCTGACTGGTCAACGTGCGTTTCTCGCTCTCAATTAACAATTAACATGCGTTCCTCGCTCTCAAATAATAAATAACGTGAGTTCCTCGCTCTCAAATAATAAATAACGTGAGTTCCTCGCTCTCAAATAATAAATAACGTGAGTTCCTCGCTCTCAAATAATAAATAACGTGACTTTCTCGCTCTCAAATAACGAATAACATGAGTTCCTCGCTCTCAAATAACGAACAACATGCTTTACTCGCTCTCAAATAACGAACAACATGAGTTACTCGCTCTCAAATAACGAACGAACAACATGCGTTCCTTGCTCCTAAATAACGAATAACATGCGTTCCTCGCTCTCAAATAACGAATAACATGCGTTCCTCGCTCTCAAATAACGGACAATGTAAGTTCCCTGCTCTCAAATAACGAATGACATGCTTTCCTCGCTCTCAAATAACGAATGACATGCGTTCCTCGCTCTCAAATAACGAATAACATGCTTTCCTCGCTCTCAAATAACGAATAACTTACGTTCCTCGCTCTCAAATAACGAATAACTTACGTTCCTCGCTCTCAAATAACGAATAACTTACGTTCCTCGCTCTCAAATAACGAATAAATTACGTTCCTCGCTCTCAAATAACGGACAATGTAAGTTCCTCGCTCTCAAATAACGAATAACGTGCGTTCATCGCTCTCAAATGACGAATAACATGCGTTCCTCGCTCTCAAATAACGAATAACTTACGTTCCTCGCTCTCAAATAACGAACAACATGCGTTACTCGCTCTCAAATAACGAACAACATGCGTTACTCGCTCTCGAATAACGAATAACTTACGTTCCTCGCTCTCAAATAACGGACAATGTAAGTTCCCTGCTCTCGGTGTTGATTTGTCCCACGGCCTAAAATATTCATAACAAACAGACTCTGTTGTGGCAACCGCACTTGTACGCGAGACACCGCGCCGCGGTCAACTCTGTAGCGTTCCGGGAACAATAATCATTTGTCATCAGAAATGGAAGGTCAGATCAGAACCTAAGGTTTTCTTAGAACTTATGACTCAAGGTCACCCTAGAACTGACTGTCAAGTTACACGAACTTAATGATAGAACTTAATGTCTCCTCAGAACTGTCGGATATCATGTGACTCATGATCAGCTTAGAACTATCAGATTGGTAGCAGTATTTATGGTAGAACTTAAGGTCTGCTATAACGTTCTCACGGATTTAAATTATTTTAATTAATTTCATCTTGGTGAAATTTTTTTATATTTTCAGAACTTATAATGATCTCAGCCCTCGTGATCATCCATAATGGCGAACATTTTTTTGTATTTTCAGAACTCACAATGATCTCAGAGCTCGCAATCATCATTAAAAGTTAGATAACTCTATTCTAGCGTATGGTTAGTTCCACCATCCCTGAATTTAAGATAGCGAGAAACCAATTTAAGATAACAAAAAAAACCTTGCGATCATCTATGACACTATTAAAATTACTCTAATTGATTAATTTATTTAACATTCCCAAATGATGATCGGTGCCAACGATAATCAATAAGCAGCATGGTTATTTGTAAGGCAGCTGCAGCGCAGCCCTGTTAGTCGAGCCTAAACCGTCGCCCGACAAGGTTCTTCTACTCGATCTGCTCTAGCGCTCAAACCTAGCATCATCTGGTGCGCTCGAAACGGCCAGTGCAATAAGGTGGAGAGGTTACCTCGCTAAAAGTGAGTATTTGATGTTACTCGTCACTGTTCCTAGCAGTATCGCTGTTATTTATCTAGGAAAATGGTGCTAACTTGTCTAGAGTCAAACCCCTTCAGTTAAGATGCGTATTTCAAACACGTTTAGAGCCAAACCCGTTCAGTGGAGACAATGTATTTCGTCCAATTTATTAAGCATAGCGCTGAAGTTCTAACAGTTAGAAAATGTTCTGTTAAGTTCGTTTAACTTTGGCTGCAAATTTTATAGAAGTTCTTTGTAAATGTACTAAACTTAATTTATGAAAGTTCTCATTTTGTTCTCAAATTTCTGCCTCAATCGCTTTCCCTATGTAACAAATTTAAATATTTTCAAGTGAACCAGATAAATTATTAATAATTAATTATATATCCGCTCGAGTAGAATATCAGAAATAACCTTGTTGAAGCAACACAAGAAACATGAATAACTATGAACTCCAGTTACAATTCTTGCAGTATGGCCATTAATTCGGAGTTTATCTCAAAAAGAAATCGTCAGAATTATGCTCGTGTTTTGCTCGCCATCGATGGTGATACCGAAAAAAAAATCCAAATTTCCATAGAGATGATCTTCCTTGATGACTGCAAATATCCATGAGTGCCGTTTTGTACGGAGGATATAGTTATGAATGGCTATCATCCGTACTCCTGCAAGAGATAGAAAGTAACGTTTGGCGGTCGAAAAGGCTTTATTTTTTTAAGCTATCAAGTCAAGCTGTCGAGAACGCATCGTCTCATGCGTCCCGGCAGACTAGCTGTTGGCCAACATGCTAGTCGAGGTATCGACATCTTTTCGGTATCGTGTTCGGTGACGAGTGTTAATTTGAATTTTTTTAATAAATAAGTAATAATTAATTGTTAATTTGAATTTTTGTCGTGAATTTTTAATGCTAACATTTGATTATCTTGTAATCCGATCATCTTGATGTTCAATTTGTTTTTATTAATTTTTATTCTCTCATTCCTGAAACTCTACATACGCTAGACAGATTCTCTCTGTTAGATTTTTGCAATGGTTGTTTCTAAATAAAAGTAAAGGCTGCACGTATTGTAAAGAACCGTAAGATAACATTCGCACATTGTTTGTAAATTCTGCATGTTTTTTTTCGTTCCAGATGCGACTCTTCTGCCTGTCCCTTCTCCTCTTCGCCGGTAAGTGGCGAATTGGTTTGTTCTTTCACAATTGCAAAAGATCTATAGGCTAATTATTATTAGGCCCATATAAGCTAATAAGCTTCTCAGAAGAATAGCTTAATTGGAATAGTTAATTTCATTATATGTGAAAACACATGACAATATACATTTAGGCTTATGAAACCAGCTGTTGCAGAAAAATTATACACAAAGCTTGTTTCCAGGTTATTCACATATTAAAAGACGTTTTGCTTTTTATCGAAATAACTAAATCAATTTTTTATTATAAATACAATAATTATGCTCGAGAATATTTTAGCTCCGACTCTTATTTTAAATGTACTTCGTTTTAAATTGTTATTATTTTATTTAGCATATAATAAAATATTGTTCGATGGCGCAATTTCAATTACCCATATGTCTGCTTATTCAACACGTCTTTGAAGTAGTACGGTCCACACCTTAAATAATTTATGGCTCACCAAACTTTAAATAAAACTAACTTAACTGTTATTGTGGAACAACCGCGGGTCACTTTACATAAACCCTACAGTTGTCTTAATTTCCAGTATACGCCCTATTCTCTCTGGGCATAGGGTCGGAAATGCGGGTCATTTTGACCCGAATACTACAGGAGGGTTAACTCGTGAACAGAACAACTTTAAAATTTACAGGAATAACTTGCGAACAGAAGAACTTTAAAATTTCGTACAGGAATAACTCGTGAACAGAACAACTTTAAAATTTCGTACAGGAAAAACTTGTAAACGCAATAATTTCAAAACTCCGTTACTCCGGAGCAGGAATGTTCCCTCCGGGTGAAGTTGACGCCACGTCGCAGCCGGTGTCGGCGGTGACGCCCATCGCGCCGTCGTACTTCCAACAGGCGATGCAGAGCTGGCTGACCGGCGCCCAGGGGACAGTGTAAGTCAGCTGCGGCCAGCCTTATTTTACAACATAATAGAATAGAAGTGTCGGCACTGAAGAAATAAGCCAATAGCCTGTTGCCGATTGTACTTTTCGTGACTTGATTCACAAGGGATCCGGCCTTTAGAACCCGATCTTTCCATAACTGACGATTGATTGAGATAGCTGCTGGACTTATTGCCTGGTCCGTAATTTGCTAGGTATTTTAAGACTGAACATATGCTCCTGCATAGCTTCGTCTAGTCTGTTCTTGAAGGCGTTCATACTTGGAGATCATATTGATCGAGAAATTATCACACAGGCCTGCGACCAAAAAGCAGTTTGATCATTTTATCGAATTTCTATAAATGTTGCTGCGCTGACAATAAAAACAATACTGCACAAGACCCTGGACGTGTGAATTTATCAAATTATGCCAAACTCTGTCGTGAAACATGAAATTTTTACGTTTCTTCTATATTTTCACATAATTTTTTTACTAGAAAAAACTTTATTACTTTTTACTATTTTTTTGATTTTTTTTACTATTTTTTTAACTTTTTTTACTATTTTTCTCAGAAGGAAATACTTTTCACTAATTCACATCAGTCCATTAGATTATGTGAGGATGATCCTTTTCACATCATGTGGCAGTTAGTCATGGGTTGTGGCAGTTAATCATGGATTGTGGCAGTTAGTCATGGGTTGTGGCAGTTAGTCATGGCTTGTGGCAGTTAGCCATGGGTTGTGGCAGTTAGCCATGGCTTGTGGCAGTTAGCCATGGGTTGTGGCAGTTAGCCATGGGTTGTGGCAGTTAGTCATGGGTTGTGGCAGTTAGCCATGGGTTGTGGCAGTTATCCAGATACTGTGCCACGTTCTCAGGCGTCATGTCAGCTAGCAAAGCATTCCAGCCTTCTAAGTGTGTTTAATGGATTGTCTCACATAGCATTAATCACCATTATCATGAATATAACAACACCAATAAAACGACATTCACCACTAAAGTAGTGAGTGTTTTAAGTGAGATAATTGACGTAGTGAGTTAATTGAAGCAGTGAGTTAAATGACTGATAGGATAACTTTAAGTACAACCGCAGCAACGATCATGTTCTTCCTGCAGGATGTCGCGCCTCCTCAGCAATGGAACGTTCGCCTCCTACAACGCCTCCTTCAAAAACCTGCTGGCACGAGGCAACCTCAGCTCACTGTCCGAGGCCCAGGCAAGAGCCCTGCCGACATCACTGTGGAACAAGTACGGGGTGAGTTTTGGGTGAGGGAGAGGCTATGTTGTGGCACAAGTACCGGGAATGTTTTGGTGAAGCGAAGGCTATGTTATGGCGCAAGTACGAGGTAAGTGTTGGATGAGGGAGAGGCTATGTTGTGGCGCAAGTACGGGGTGAGTTTTGGGTGAGAGGAAGGCTATGTTCTGGCGCAAGTACGGGGTGAGTTTTGGGTGAGAGGAAGGCAATGTTGTGGCACAAGTACGGGGTGAGTTTTGGGTGAGGTAGAGGCTATGTTGTGGCGCAAGTACGGGGTGAGTATTGGGTGAGAGGAAGGCAATGTTGTGGCACAAGTACGGGGTGAGTTTTGGGTGAGGTAGAGGCTATGTTGTGGCGCAAGTACGGGGTGAGATTTGGTGAAGGGAAGGCTATGTTGTGGCGCAAGTACGGAGTGAGTTTTTGGTGAGGGAGAGGCTATGTTGTGGCACAAGTACCGGGAATATTTTAGTGAAGCGAAGGCTATATTGTGGCGCAAGTACGGGTTGAATTATTGGTGAGGGAGAGGCTATGTTGTGGCACAAGTACAGGGTAAGTTTTAGTGATGGAAGGCTATGTTGCGGCGCAAAAACGGGCTGAAATTTGGTCGAGGGAGAGGCTATGTTGTAGCGCAAGTAGGGGTGAGTTTTGGCTGAGGGGGAGGCTATGTTGTGGCGCAAGTACGGGGTGAGGAAGAGGCTATGTTGTGGCACAAGTACGGTATGAGTTTCGGGTGTGGGAGAGGCTATGTTGTGGCGTAAGTACGGGTGAGTTTTGGGTGAGGGAGACGTTATGTTGTGGCGATAATACGGGATGAGTCATGTGTGAGGGAGAGTCTATGTTTTGGCGCATGTACGGGGCGAGTTTCGTGTGAGATATAGGCTATGTTATAGCGCAAGCACGGGGGGAAATTTGGTTGAGGGGGAGGGCGCAAACACGGGATAAGTTTTGAGTGGGGATAGTCATAGTTGTGGCGCAAGTACGGGGTGAGTTTTAGGTGAGGGAAACGCTATGTTCTGGCGCAAGTACGGGGTGAATTTTGGTAAAGGGAAGGCTATGTTGTGGCGCAAGTGCGGGGTGTTTTTGGGTGAGGGAGAGGCTATGTTTTTGCGCAAGTTCGGGGCGAGTTTCGAGTGAAGGAGAGGCTATCATGTGGTGCAAATACGGGGTAAATTGTGGGTGAAGGAGAGGCATGTCGCGACGTATGTACGGGATGAAATTTGGTTGAGGGAGAGGCTATGTTGTGGTGCAGGTACGGGGTAAGTTTTGTGTGAAGGAGAGGCTATGTTGCGGCGCAAGTGCGGGGTAAGTTTATACATTGCCTAATTTATTTCATTGAGCACTGTTTTTCATGACTTAATAATCAATTTCTTACATTGATATGCGATAACATCCCAGGCGTTTTCCCTGCTCACGCTGACGGACAACGTACGGAACTTGGTGACGCCGTATTTGTCGCAGCGCGTCAGGGATGAGATGGACGTCCTGAGGAGAGTCAACGTCACCCTGCCTCAGGCCATCGACAGGCTCAGGACCCAGCTAATAAACACCAGCGTGAGTTTTCCTTTGCATGGATAATAACTTCTCATAGTATTGTCCTATTAACTTATCATACTTTATGGTCGAGGTTAGGAAGCATCATTTAAAACATATAGTCTTAAGCTGCCTTAACAAAAATCGCATAACGCTAAACCTTCTTCGCAACAATCACTATGATCAGCTTAGAGTTATTTTAGGTCTGCTCGATAATCCGATCGAAATCAATGACTAGTTAGAATCTCCTTTAACTGCATTTAACTACATAATAGTGTGATTGAAAGTCTCCTTGGGTGTCATTCATATGATGGACGTTAATTTGCCTGACAGTACAGATCACCTTCTAACCAAATTTGGAAAGAATAATCAGTTTAAGCCCGGCATCACATAGCATATGAGTAGTAGTAGTAGTAGAATGGTTTGCTAGCGCTTCAGCTATTAAGCTATTTGCACCGGAGGTCAAAGATAACGTCGCCAGAGAGGCGAAAAGTCTCAATTATTCAAAATCTTAAATTAACCTTCACCTACCAGGGACGGAAGGTCTCACTCAATTGTCCAGTCCGCTGAAGCTGGCTCGAAAGAAGAAGCATAAGCATACGAAAGAGACGAAGTAATAAGGAGGGACAGGTGACAAGGAGGGGCAGGTAAAAAGCAAACAGAAGTCAAGACACTCGAACAAGAGGTCGCTTACACAGGAAGTCGGCCACCCGCACGAGAGAGGCAGAGAAGGGAAATGGGGGGAAATCCAGCCTACAAGATAGCTTAACCTCACAACTGAGACCTGCAGTCAGACACCGCGAGCCCAGCGGCGAGGCGCTCAGGAACAATCCTCCTACCCTCCTAGGAGCGCGAAATCCCACAGGACTTCTGACGAGCACAGACACGCGTCAGAAGACCACTCTGAAGGGACATAGTATATGAGTTATTTCGCATACCTAGAATTGCAACAGACGCCACCTCATATTTTTACACGCGTATTTGTACAACACACCAATAGTGGTAGTAATTTAGCACAAACAGTAATTGTTATATATGCCACTTTAGATTTTACACACAGTTTTACAACAAAAAAAGATTCAAATAAGATAACACATACGGGTTGAAACGTGGCGTTTCTCACATGGAGCTTCAATTTTCCAACATTGCACAGGGTGGGGCAGAACCGATTGCGCAGTTTTGAGGCGAAATAAAAAAGGTCCCCATCCTGCTGGAACCACACGTCTCCCAATGCTTCATTTTCAACAATGTTTTCCATCCTTGGCTGCAAGAAATTTTGCCACTTTGCAGCATAGCGTTCGGAATTCACTGTCACGGTTACTCCCTCCTCCTTTAAAGAAGTATGGGCCTATCACACCAAATTGTGAGATGGCAGACCAGACCGTTAGTTTGGGAGAATGATGGATAATTTATGGGTTGTCTTCAGCCCACTAACGAAAATTTTGTTTATTTAGTCCCACAGATGCGAAAATGCGCCTCATCACTGCTGAAGAACGCTGCGTCGGGAACAATCTGTTCAAGCATGTTCTCACACAGATTTCGGCGGCTGGTAAAGTCTGCTTCGTTCAATTGTTGGGCCATCATCATTTTGTAGGGATGAAAATGAAAATCCCTGTGCAGAATCCTCCTCAAACTGCGTGAGGAGATTCCCAAAGCAACGGCATGCCTTCGTACAGATCGTCTTGGCGAGTGGACGGCTGCTGCTCTCACCCACTCGACATTTTCTGGTGTTCTGATGAACCTGCGTCGGCCGTGTGTATTTCTTCTTAGTGTGCTACCAGTTGCCTCCAACTGCCTAGCCCAGCACCGAATTGTGTTCGCCGGAGGAAGAGCATCATTGCGTGGAATATTGAACAGCCGCCGAAAAGCTCTTTGCGTTGCAATCACAGATTAATTGTTCTCGAAATATGCGCGCACAGCAAAGCCACGATGTTCTCCTGACCAAACCATGTTGGCTACTGAAATGAGAATACCGGAGGGGCTGGAAAAATCCACCCGCACGCCCATCCCCCTCCTTCCCTGCAGACTCTGACTGCTCTAAACTGCTCAATCGGTTCTGCCCCACCCTGTTTTAGAATCAAATTGATAATTACTTCGATTTTAAATTTCAATCAAAATTAGAATTAGCTTTTGTTTAAGGCTCGTTGTCAGAGTGCGGGGAAGTGCGTCTGAGCGCGAAGGATGTCTAAGTAATGAGGATGTTTGTAATAGGATGTCTAAATTAGCACTCATTTATGGACCACGTGCGGCTTCCAGGTGGCTGAAGATTGGACAAAGTGATAATTTTGACGAAAATTCCGTATGAAATAAAAACAAACATGAATTATCAACCTGAAATTGAAGGCATGCATATCAACACCTGCTTTAAAAATTCTTTTAGTAAACACTCCCTATTGATTTTAAATGCTCAATTTTAGGAGGAACAACGGTGGACAATAATCTTATACCCATCTGGGAAAAAATTATTTTTGCCTGCTATATTTAATTTACAGCATGAAATTGAAATTCGAGCGTAAACATAAATTAAAATGATTGTCATTTGTGATATTTGCTCCCTTGAATTAAAATGATTTAATAGATGAACTTATAAAAAACATTGACTGGAAGTAATGTTTGCAAGGAAATTAAAAATTCTCGTATGTGTGTTTTAAACAAACCGATGTGTGTTCTAAACAAACTCAGATGTGTGTTCTAAACAATTCTGCTAACAAACAGCCTAGGAAAATCCGAAAATGGTTACTTTGTATGTCGCATGTTTATTTTAATCCTTTTAACATTTGTAGTTTCTCTACAAATTTCTTTACCTCATTAGAGTCAAACTATTCACATAGTTTGACTCTAATTATTCACATTAGATTCACCCGATTATTCACATTAGATACAAGGGAAACTTTTTAAGGAGTCTAGATTTGACAAAAAGTGTTAACGTCACCTCATTGATCAACGGATTGAATACATCCTCTCTACTTGCTGAAAAATAATATATTTTTTCATCGTCAGGCCTCGCAGATGGAAGTGGGCATCCTGCTGCAACAACTGGGAAACTCCTTTGCCTGGACGCCGGAGAACATCACCAACCTGAAGCCCATCCTCTTCAACCTGCCCATCTCCATGCTCACCAAAATCTACGACACGCGTGCCATCGCGAGGCTGTTAGTCTATTTTTAATTTTTTTTAATGTAAATTAAGGGAGTACAAAAAAGCATGCCCACATAAAAAAAAACATCGTTTTTCCCACATAAAACTTCATTTTTTCATTCTACTGCATCCCTATTCTCTCTTTTCAACCACTTTTTGGAGCACAAGAGTTTATTCGTACTGGGCTTCCTACGCGTATTTTGCGCAGAAAAAAATCGAAATATCAGTATCAGATGACTTTATAGCATTACTGCAGCTAATGAGAGTAAAGTTCGAACTGTAATAAGTCACTTAATTCAAAAATAAAATTTCAAAAGTGAAAAAGGTGAGGACATTTGACACTGAAGACTTGACAAACAATATCCTACCTCGTGATTACATCACTAAAAATACAGCTTCCTCGTGGCTGGATTCTTGTCGTCGCCTGCACGAATAATAATTCAACATTAAGAATGCTCGCGGTTCTTCACTATTGTCGTCAACCTTCCTGTTTTTGTTCCCGTGATATACACCTAACAACGTCTTGAAAGACTGCGCTGGCAACACCGGTGTCGGTGCCTCCTCTTGCTCGGACTCGGTGTCATTGCACGCTCTGTCTGGTGCCTAAAGCGTGCTCGTGGTCTCGTTAGATTGTAAGCCAGACAAATAATTTCTTGGAATTTCCTTCAGAAGTCCTTGCAGAACTATGGGATAGTTTTGATGATTTGGAACTAGATATAACTAAAATGCAAATTATTGAGCAATTACACTGCTACAGAGCACGCAATATGTGAACCAGGAGTGAATGTCCGTGCATAATCTTTCTATTGATTGTTCCTGTTTACTTCGTGTATTGTATTGTTCCTCTGTTCGTGTATTGTTTTTAAATTGAAGAATCGCCGTGCCCGACAGGAACGAAGAATTGAATCTGTGCATGAACAACACGGGCAACAAGTCAGCCTCGTGCCCGAGTCAGGCCGAGTCTAGGGGCGAGGGGACAACACCGCGCGCCCAGTACATGCTGTCGCTGCGGGCGTGGCTCATCGAGAAGACCTACGGCGACCCCAGGAACTGGGACCGAGACACCTTCGCCAGGATGACCAACCTCAGCATCCTGCCCGACGCTGTCTTCCTTCGCCTACAGCCTGAAGTTCTGTTGACCCGCAGGGATGAAATTCTAACCGTGAGACGTGTTTGGGACACGTGTCCCGATATGGACACATTTGCAACTTGGTATTAGCATACTTCCGGCTTCTTATGATACTAATTCGTTACTATGTGATCTGTCATATGTAAATTTATGGGCTATAAAATTCATTAAACATTATGGGCTTCAAGTTGCAATTGGATGAAAATAACTATGAGTCGCATTACTTTAGGTTTGATGGATATAAGTAACTGGCTTAATAATATGATGGCTTCAAAAATATGATCGACTGACATGCGTGATCAGTCGAAGAACGCATTGAATTGAGTGGTTGGCCTCTCCATGACTTCATGAATCAGCACAATGATTTCGGAAACACTATGGGCCACTGGATGAATGAAAAATCACGAATGGTTTGAGAACAAGACGGAATGAACACGTTGAGTTAAACAGCGCGATTGGCTGGATAACACGATAAGTTCGATTAAAAAAATTGGCTAGGTGGATGGATAACAAAATATTGTGAGTTATACTATATCTTTCAAGGACACTTTATGGTGCGTTGCATGTTGGTGTAGATAACCGAGAGCTAGGTTAAATAACACGATTGGTTGTATAAGTTAGTGGTTGAACAAGAACAAAATTCGAGTACCGCCTAGGCTTCGGCCTAAGAGTAGCTACACAGCTTGCAGTTATTCTGGATCGCTTGGCCACCCGAACGAAATAAGCTTCAGGTCAGAATCTCAAATCAGACTTTATAGTTGCCTGAGAGCATGGACTTGGGCAGGGTTGTTCGATCAAGCCGAGTCATACCGAGCTTGTAAGCTGCCCAGACGCTGCCCTTCCCACCCAGAGCCGAAGCGGGCGCAAAGCTGCTGATTTACGTGCTACCAGAGTCCTAGGCGGCACCCACTTCAGAGTCGGGCCTGCATCAAAGTTTTTTTAGCGAGGATGAAAGAATTAGACTATCTACTGAATTAAAATATTTATTGTACTTATAATGGGATTAATAGCAGTTTGCATTTCCAAAGATGCTGCGCGGCAATATGACCAAGCTGAGGGCTCTTGGCCGGTATGTTGTGGAGAAGGTCTTGATGGCCGGAAACGTGAGTCGAAGCAATACATCACAGCCGCTCGTCTCGCAGCAGGAAATAGAGAGGGTGTGTTATTATGCCATACATCTTTCTGTTGTTCATTGCTCTAATTTAAAATTTTTAGAATGAACTGAGTACGTGCGATGTCAATTACTTCGAACGGAACTAGTTAAAGCGTGGCCAGAGACTGTTTCGTCTGAAACACTTAAAATTTAATTGCCGTAAGCCTTTTTTCTTTTGCACCAAATGTGTAGATCAATTAAATTTATTCTCCTGCGTCTGATTTATGCTTGACTTCCCTCAAATTAAATGGATTGACTCGTATATTTCATCCAACAGATTAAGAACGTCACCAACTCGCTGCGCACTGCAGGTCTCATGCAGTTCGTGTACTCCACTGATCTGCCCAATGAGGTCCTCGACGCCGACAACAGACGCATCCGCAACGAAACCGACAACTTCACCACCGCTGCGCTGCAGGACGGCTCCATCGATGCTAAGGTGTGTGTTGGGTGACTCACTTCAGTGGGACTTTGCCCTGATTGTTGTTGTCATATTTTGTCTCTCCTCTGCGGATACATGTGTACTCTGTCTCCACTATTATAAGGGTGCACTATGTTCTGTGCCTGTGCAGGTGCTAGCTACAGACGCAGAAAGTGGGGTGTAAGTAAAGAGACATGATGCCCTGAGAGTTTGTGCTTATATTCGCTGAAATCGCATGGCTACAATGTAAGCTTCCTCACAGGTAGCCTCGAACTCACAGCCTGTTAAATTTCAGTGCAACGCCTAGAAAATTTCGCCTGAATACTGCCGTTTCACTCAAAAGTATGTGATGTCTGATTTCACAACATTATCCTTCTAACCCATGACCGTGCAATATCAGTCTTAATGTCTGTTATTTAAGCCACAGTTTCCACAATCGCAACAAAAAATCTATTCTAACATAACATTTGTAAATTTCATCTTCAAACTTTGGAATTCAATCATAAAACTTCATTACTTTGATCAGAAACTTCTCTATTCTCATTGAACGTTTAATCCCGGAAGCTTGAAACATGCACTTGATATTCATCGTCATCCTAGGTGCTGGAAGCCAGCATTCAGAGTCTGCTCAACTACACGCAGCCCCTCACCAACGACCAAATCCGGAACCTAGGTGAGAGATTGTGATGTAAGATGAGTGAGTTTTGTACAAGTTTCATAAGTGAACACTTTCAATCCATCCGTGTTGCCGATGGCTTTTTATTTTGTCCCGTGTTATAGGATGACAAAGTGTTAAGGGCGTAAAACAATTCGGTGCCTATAGTCTGAATTAAGAAGGAAATAATACTTTAAAGTGTTTTTCAAAAAAATATTCACTCAACACCAACTTTCCTCTTAACTCATAATGAGTGCCCTACACGATAGGTGGACTATATGAGCTCATCGCTTATCGTAAGTTCACAAGGTGATTATAATTTTACAAAATAATCACCTCAATTATTTTCAATAATAATCACCTCAAGTATCTAATGAATGACTATCTCAACCGGCAGGGATGAACCGCCTGGCGCTGGCGTCGGGTCTCATGCTCAACCGCACGCTCAGGAACTACACCATCTCAGCTGATGACCTCAGGAAGCTCACGACGACCATCCGGAACACGGCTGGTAGCACCGCCATGAGCAAGGTGGGTGGGCATGACGATTTAGGGGCTGACTATCGCGGGATGGTGATGTGGCGTTGATGGGATGTTTTTGTAACGTTAAGGTATAATGTTGATTAGTAAGGATGCATCTGATGATGGTGTGATTTCAATGTGCACATGGTAATAATGCCATGTCCTTGTAATGCTGATGTAATTTTGTTGTGATGTTAATGGGATGTTAGTTCAACAGAATTTCACCATTTTCATCTCAGTTTGGTTTTGATTGATATCATCAATTCATTAAAGCTTAAATTAACCATTTAGCCTAGCTACAGCTTGATGCTTGATTCGAATATACTTGAACTCAATTCGAAAACAATCCAGTTGTGTTGTTTTTTTTACTAATTAACGATGATTAACGACAATGTATTGCATCTTTCAGATGATGCTAATTAAGAGCAATTAAAGTGTTCTTGTATACTGACTTACTATTATATTATTGATCATACTTGCTGATGATGTAACGACAATGTGTTGCATCACTCAGCTGATGCTGATCAAGAACAAAGTGTTCGAAGTTGCCTCTGGTGGAGGGACGACGCTGGACCTGAACGCCGTGCCTGACGAGCTCCTGAGCGTGGCGCCCTTGCAGTACCTCGATGGTCTGTCCATCACCAGCAGGATCTCCGCGCTGGGCAGAAATGCCTCCTACAACACGGCACAGATGGCCACCCTCATCTCAGGCGTTAGTGTCTGCTTCAAGAATAGGAGTCTTGACGCTAATAACGTGCCATTTCATTTATAACTATTCATCCTCGTGGACAGTTGCTGCTACCATCCATATTTGGCAAGGTTCAAGTTTCACTCTCTAGATGCCTTCTAGGCCATCATATTTTGCAGAATTGCTTCAACGGCCTATTTTCAAAATAAAAGGTTATATATACATCATTCGGAACGCGACTAATATTACACATTATATTTCAATAAATTTTGCGATTTTTTTTAATCCAAATTCGAGCTAACGGCAACCAAAGAAGAATTTCCTTTAAAAAAATCTCGAACATTTTCCTTAGACGACATGGTATCGATATTGATTTTAAATGAGAGTCATGTTTTTCAGATACATAACTGCAGTCTGAGTGAGGTATAAGGAATTAAATCCTTTCAAAAATAAACAACTCTTTCTAAAATGATTCATGACATTTTGAAAGCTCATCAGCAGCACTGTTTGTCTTGGATTGTATTTATCGTAAGTAAATGATCAACTTCACTTCAGATTGGGTCGGACAGGCTGAAGGATATCTCTGGCAACGCTAAGGAGGCCATCCCTACAAATGTTTACAAGGATCTCAGTAAGGACGCTCTGAAACCGGTGGCTACAAACATGTCTGCCTCGTCCAAGATTGTGAGTAGCGAGTGGAAAAATTATTACAATGCTCTATCTTCCTTAAAAGCCTATTATCAAAGTTATAATTTCAAATTGTGAACATTTTTGTGCGTGTCTATGCCGAAAAAAAATAATTTTAAAGGCTTTGGATAACTTACTTGCTTAAAAACTTGAATACATCATATTAAGAAATGAGAAGGATAGCTATTACGTCATCGTGCGATGCCCAATAATCCAGATATTATTCTTTGTTATTCTTTGTTTGTCATTGAAAAGACAAACAAGAAGATTGTTAATAAAAAGCATGCTCTGGTCTTCAATCAAACTTGCATAAGAGAAAAGCTTCTGCCTAACTACACCAATATTATTCTTTATGCACAACTAACTTTTGGATCACCGCCTAGGGCCTGATGATATCAGACAAGGCCTTCAAGAACGGGGTGAATATGAACACCGACGCCAACGCGGCGATGTTCCTGCAGGCGGTGGACGCCAGGAACATCCCGACCTCCAACATCGTCCAGCAGCTCGAGTACATGAAGGATCGCTTCCCTACTCTCGAGGCGGTTAGTGTGGTAGCTCAATATTCACCGTAACCTTACCCAACAGTGACTATATTCATGAGAACTAAGTACATGGTGATTGGTGACTTTTAATAGATATGACATAGAAGTGGCCATGAGGGAGTGACAGTAAAGCTGCATTATGGCTGGATCTTACTAGGTCGATTTTGCTGCATTCTGATGTGATGTGTACTATAATTAGCTAAAGAAGTACGTATAAGTCATCACAATGAAAAAATCATCACAATAGAAATAAATATATTTCTATTGTGAATAATAGATTATTATAAAATGCTCCTTTCTTTTATCTACTGAGGTTAGTGGTATAGAATCTACTAGGGTCAAATATACGTCATAAAATCGAGTAATTTTGTGCTGGCAAATGTAGGTTCCGTCTTATTATTTGAATCATCATCATACATTCATTTCTAGTGAAAGTATTTTAGATACTCCTCTGCTCTGTGAAACTCAAAGAATGCTTTTTTTTCGACTTTCCCGTTTGCATTGCTCACAGCAAGCCAGATGTTTAAACTCTGAATTGATCGTAGCCGTCAAGTTCGAGTCGGATAAAAGCAACCGCAAGCAACGCAGTGCCAGATAGATGCCGAAATTCATGCACTGCATAAACCAGATAACTTCTGCATAGTTTTTTATTCAGTTGATTACCATTTATCACTCTCAAGTGCTCCCTACCGATATAGTTCGGCTATGCACAAATCTGTGAGAGCATTATCAACGTTTCCGGATAATTTGCATAAATCTGAATGCTATAATTGAAGGAATAGGTTTTGCTATATGTATATTTCAACGTAAGTTACCTAAATAAATGCATCTCAATTACCATCGTGTTCAATTATTGCTTCTGGCAGCACCGTTTCCCTAGAGTTCTTTCAAACCACAGCATTGATAAATTCAAAGTTCAAAGTTATGTTATGAAGTTATGAAGTTCAAAACTACTAGTCGGTAAGTCTACTTCTTGCCTCCAGTACCACGTTCTTTAAGACATATTGTAAAACTACTATTGCGAACTACTATTGCAAACTTGAACGTGAACTCGAACTACTATTGCTAACTCGAACGTGAACTACTATTGCTTCTTGCAGTACCGTTCCCCAATGTTCTTTCATACCGCAACATTGACAAATTCAAATTTTCCTATTTGAACGTTCGACCGTACCATTGAAGTGAGCTCTTTTTTGAAGTTCATAACTACCAGTCGGTATATAAGTCCACTTCTCGCCTCCAGTGCCGAGTTCTTAAAGACATCTACGTGAACTACTCGGCGACGGAGATGATGACGCAGAGTGAGGAGGAGGTCTTCCAGCTCCTCACGCCCGCCGCCATCGAGCGCATGCCCATCTGCGTCGTCGCTTCCTTCCGGTTATTATTGAACAACAATTTACATTATTTCAATAATTAATATAACAAATACACTGCATATTTTCAGAAATACAAGAACACATATTTCTGACCCCAAAGTCTAAAATAAAATTTATTGGTAAACATCACGAATAGCGATGTTTATACCAAGATTAAAAGCATATATATTCCATATAGATATCTCAATAAACTACAGATCATTTAAATGTAAATTAGATATTTGATTAGTGTTTTTATAAAAAGGGAAATATAAAATCCCGGTAAAAAAATGCAAAAGTTGTCCAACTTGAGTTGTGGAGCACAAGCGGCACATTCAGAAATTTGTCAAGAATTTGACCAAAATCAAATAAAACTCGTGCAATGGATGACAACCGTTGCAATACCCAGACAACGTTCTTCTTATACGCTGCACATTTGTTCAGCCCCGACCTTCTTCGGGGCCTGGACGACGTCAGCAAAATAATGCTGTTGGACCGCCTGGTCGCGAACAGGAAGATGGCGCTGACCTACGCCTCCCTCGGCCGCTATCGCACTGGCCTGTTAATGAACATTGTGTACGAGGGTCTCAGCGCTAAGGTAAAGTTGGACAAATCACCAAACAAGATTGAGCACAACAAAAGTGCATGGGCTTAATATTATAAATTTATTTATTTTAGTGTTTTTATGAGTTGGGAATTCGATTACGAGCGTTGTAGATGCATTTGAAATTAGGATATGAGTGAGCAGGGCTGCTGCCATTTGCCGTAAATATTTCCGGCAGCGTCAGTCAACCTGAAAACGGATGCAAAACCCATAGAAATTAGCAGAATAATGCTTCCTTATTGGAAAAATCCTCCTGCCATTGTTGTGACGAAAATTTGAAGCCAATAATTATGAATTTAAAGAATGTCTACAAAAATTTGTCCTATCTTGATTGAAAACATTTCGGATAAAGCTCCATTGTCTGATCAAAAATACAACTAGAATCAGTTAGCACAACTACAATTTACAGAAATACTATAACCTAAATTTAAAATGTAGAACAAGGCATTGTATATGTAAGCTCATGTGTCAGCTATACTAATTGATTATACCTTTTTATGATTTTACCTTTTTAAATTATGATTATACCTTTTTAAAGACTTCTGAACTGTCGATGGTGCTGGCCAAAGAACCTTTTTAATGATGATATGGTGAATTTGGTGACAATTTTCCGCATTTTTAATACTTGGCTCACTTGTGTCTCGAACAATCAGGTATCCCAAAATTTGAAAAGCATCGTGTGAGTGAAAATTGTGCGTTTTTGGGCCACTTGCATGGGAGATAGGCGTATATTAATACTAGTATATATTCAAAATAACGGTTTTGCAGTTGAATGTTACGCAGCAAAGTAAAGAGTACCGTCATAAAAGATCAAAGGTTTTTGTTGCATAGTTAGTTTTGCGTTAATTCTAATTTGGCAGCTCGAGATTTATAAAAATTTGATTCTCGTCTAGTTTTACAAGTTGAAATTTCGTCTGGTTTTACTAGTATTGATGAAAATAGTCGACTGAGTTAGCCAGCACATTTTCGTAAAGCGAAAGTTTGGAGTAATTCACAAGTTTCTTCTTAGCAAAGGACTAACATCAATATGACGAGTAGAGACCTAGTTTGAAGCCGCCGCTACACCACAAGTCTCGTGCTATTTGTTATATCTTGCGACAAATAAAATTTGAAATAATTGAGTATATTTTGAATATGTTGATGACAACGTAAAGGAAGCAACCTCAATTGACGGCAGCTGAGAGCAATAACCCCCACAGGGCCTTTGGAGCGTGGTGACTGGGGCGGACGTGAACACGTACCGTGAAATTCTGCTCTTCTTCCCCACGTACCTGCTGAATAACGTAACGGCAGAGGGAATTCCTCTCGCCCTCGACATCTTCAACGTGAGGAGGGGAGGAAGGGAAGAGATGGTTCGAAGATTTTTTTTCTGGTCTTTTTGCTTCGAAGTTATGGGAAAAGTATTTGTTTAAATAGAGCATAGCCAGCAGGAGATTGTGAGGGATAATCATTATCCTTGGATTGAAGAGAGGCTCCAGGTTAAAGGAGTTATTTTGGAAAAGTGGGTGTTTGGGGAAATAGGAGTAATGATGGGCAATTCAAAAGAAGGAGCGCATTTGGGCAAATTTTTGGGATGCAGTTGAAAAAGGGTTGCTTAGTAGGGCAGAGGGAGATACCTTATTTTTGAGTGAAACCCAGACACTTGAAGAAAGACGGAGAGCGGAGCGTTCTCATGTTCGAGTGTATTTCTTTCTTATTAATTCGTTCACATTAAATGAATGGTATGAGCGCAATTTGCTTCGCAATTCCTACCTTTGTTCGCTATGCTATGATTAAAGCGATGAACCTTATCGTTTCCATATTTAATTTCAATGAACATCTCCAGTCCTTTGCGGCAAGCGCCCTGATGCCGTGTCTTGACAATGAACGACGGGCGGCCATCGCCAATCTCATCACCAAGTACAAAGGGTGAGCATTCAGCATGTTCCTAAGTGGGGGCTTGAAGAACAGATTTCTGACAAACAAGGGCCCGCTAAAGAAAAGTCTGATATTAAAAAGTGTTTGATTGATAAATGCCTGATGATCAGATGTCTGATCGGTTGGTATCTGGTGAACGAATATAAAGTGTGTATTTTATGAGTGGCCGATAAAGAGTACAATTTAACTCAGTTTATTTCCACACAAAATATACTCTGATTGTGATATGACGGAAGATGACCTTGAATCTAAGGGGGCGCAGCCGTATGAGACATATGTTACTCTTAAATAAGCCCTGGAGCCAACGCTCAACTTCACCATGCATTAACTTTACTCAGCCTCAGCACTAGAAGCCGCAGACTTCGCTTGAACTCCGTAATCCAAACAAGCGACACACTGCCGAAAGATAAAAGCGCCGTAGGTCTTCAGCCAATGCTAAGCATGCTCGCTCATAAGCAGGCAGTTCCCCATCCGGCTGAACCTACTCCGGCCTAACCTCTTCTGGCCTAACCTATTCACGCTGTCCCGGCTCACAACCTTCTTGCAGCCACTGACTGGCTCTACCAGCACACTTGGACCGCCATTCTAACTTCTTGCAGCCAATGAGGTTAGGTTAGGTCCGCTCAGGTTTGTTCTGGGTGGAGAAAGGTTGCAGCTTGTATATAGGTTAGGCCTGAAGAGGTTGGGCCGGATGAGGTTTCGCCAGATGCAGTATGGCCATGTTTACTTTTGGCAAGCTTATTTTGTGGCTGTGGACATCCGGCGCTATGGCTTTGAACACTTGACTTCATAGGCCGTTATGCACTTATAGCGTTCTTACCTACGGAAAGAAATATGAACCAAGTGCGAAGTTTGGCAAAACTGGCCTCCGGCATGCGCCCCGAATCTAGAGAGTTTCGCCTATACTGTATAATCAAGATACGATTTCGACTGGAATATTTTCCTAATAGGTACTACCATTAAATCATTTCGACATCTTGTGAACCCTAACCATTCATTAGATATTACGACTTGCGTATGACAAAAATTGGATGAGCTTGTCATATTGACAAACTCATCAAAATGACGGATCTATCTCACGTGACTCTACGTCGTGAAAATTTACTTTTGATAGACACGTTAATACTAATGAGATATTTTGATGCAACACATGATCTCTGATATGAAATAAAAAATGAATTACGTATTTGAATGCCTTTATATTGCAAATTTTTGTAACATTGATGATTTCTCCCTAAAATAATAAATTTTCCTTCAATCAATTCAATTTTTCCTGTCAAAATTTTCATTATCATGAATTTCATACTCAGTAATCAAATTGATTGAAATATTAAAAAACTTTTTCCGCCAGGGACGACCCGACAACGTGGCGGAATATGTCGGGGCTGTGTTGCCTGCTGTACACGCTGCCGTCGGGGACGCTGAGCCGCATCCCCCGCGGGGCCCTCATGTCCTGTCGCTGCCCCATCGCCGACCGCGCCCAGTACGCCCCAGACGACGAGGCCCGCCAGGTCTCTAATATTTTATGTTCTTCAATTTTACCTAAAAACACAGCCTCAATAATTTGTTGTTATTATCTCCCTACAGTACGAGTACCGTATTAACCAGGCACTTCCCTCCTACAGTACGAGTGCCGTGCTGTCCTCGGCAGCGACTACGACGACGAGCTCAGGCAACGCGAAAACGTGCGTCGGTTGCAGGTGCAAGCAGCGCTAGACTTGCTTGATCCCAGCGCCGTCCCCGGCTACCGCCCTAGTGGCAGGAGGAAGAGGGGTCAGCAGGGAATACTGTACATTCATTTCTCGTAAAATTGTTGGAAAAAAAATTTGGATTCATAGTGAAGAATCTTTCTGTACTTGATGACAGTGTATGAGTTTTTGTGTGTTCGCCCGACCAACCCCCCTCCCCAAAAAATTGGTGTTTTTTCATATGTATAAATGTTCTATTGGTAAAATGGCAATGCAAAAAGCTCGCTCAGTGAATTTTTTGTTTGCATGGATCAATTTTGGAAAAGTGACGGAAAAACATGCAATATTCGTAAATTCACATATGACAACAAAATTTGTAAACCTGCGCTTCCTAGAATAAAAGTCTTTCATTTGATTATATAAATCTACGCGTAACGCAGAAAGCGATTAGCAGGACTTTCGCACCAACCCTGAGTGATATCCAATACCCAAGCGATTATATCAAGATATATAAAATTTTGCGTTAATTGTAATGTAATTAAGTGATATTACTTCTCATGCTGTAGCAATGCTAGACCCATAAGACTTGACGAGACGCGATGTCCACTTTCAAGTTCAGCACTTAGGCTCTGTCACTAACTATTACATTGAGTCCGTTAGTAGGATTCCATTATTCGTCGTCATGGTTCCTAATCTCGGCCACAATATTCGAGCAGCTGTGAGCAACATCGCGCTGTGCGATCGCGCATCGGTGAGCGGCGTAGACGACATCACCACCAGCGAACTGAGCGCCGCGTCCACCAGCGACATCATGCAGTGCCTGGGGGCGCTGGGGGCCCGCTACATGAATGACACAAAAGCTCAGGTTCTTAATGTCTCACAATGCGTGTTTTATATCGAGGAAACACGACCATGAAATGATCATGATTCATTGCAATTAGTCCCTTCCTATTCTAGTGGTGAAGAATGTTCCACCAGTGCCCCAGAACCTAGTTAAATAATCATATCTTAGAGCTGGATGCTTGAGCGCCACGGAAGAGCAGCAATAGTGCAGGAAAGACCGCTACGGAGCCATTGTGGGGTTCGAGCGTTTGTACTGAAGCAACATCGTTGATGCCAAACTGCCAATTCCGTAAACGCGTTATCTGCAAACGCTATTCCCAATAGAAAAACTCCATTGCACGCCATTCATGAGGTGTGAACCACCACTAAAACATGCACCAAAATCATTCCCCTAACAAATGTACGAAATTAGACCCGTGTCATTCATAAAGACACGTACCTATTGAATCAGTCGTTTTAGAGTTCGAAACATAGAACATTTTGTTAAACTCGTCAATTTTAGCAATGTAACGGTCATTCATCCAACAGATGAGCGTTACGTTGACAGTAGGATATCTTCTGCGTTGTAAAAAAAAGTCAGTATATCTCTCGAATAGCGTCTAGACGACGATTTGTTATCGAGCGAAATTTGGTTGCTGCGGGCAGACGTCACCGCAGTAACGTTAGACGTCAAGATTTAAAGCTCTACCGCCGTGTGTCACTCTCCGGGAACATAACTTTCAGCTTAAATTATACGTAAACTATTGAGTGTAGCAACCTGAGGACGTTTGTACGCAACAGAAAACATTTTAAAATTGTACGTGGCGGCAACCATCAGTGCAAGTCATTTTGCGCTCACTAGAACGTATCTTTTTTGTAAAGTAGGCTTGTGACAATATTGCTCCGGTTACTCTTGTCAGGCGGTAGAGGGTTGAATTCCATTTTATGTCGCTACCTGGTCGATCTTTCCTAAATAAACTATAACAATAATTAATCTTCTCGCACAGATCCTGGCAAACAAAGTGCGAGATTCCCTGACCTCTCGGTCGTGGTCGAACCTCACGAACGACCTCATGCGTGACATGAACTTCATCATGAAGGGCATCCCGGCCAACGAAATTCGTAATCTCCCCTCCCTGTCTCCCCCGAATGTCTTCACCGACACCGTCGCCGTTCTGGGCAATGAGAAGATGAACTTTTCCGATGACCAGGTGAGAAATTCTCATGATATGTTGTGGCCATGATTGATGATGAATGATGTATTGTGACAAGTGGTCATGAGTGATGATGAATGATTGATTGCGACAAGTGGTCATGAGTGATGATGAATGATATATTGTGACAAGCGGTCATGAGTGATGAAGAATGCCTGAAAATAATTTAAAACGATGGTGTATAGTGATGATCATCGATATTATCGTTTTATTAAAATTTCAGTGTCTGGTTTGAGCCTACATTACGGTTGAACCTTTAATGATAAAATTTATCATGTAGAATTTATCATATATTGACGATATTTCATTATTATTGCATAACACATTAAAAATATTTTAATGTGTACTAGGATGCATAATAAAGAATAGTTCATATGGTATAGTAGTGAAGGAATGTCGGCAGTGAATATTAGGTCAATCTGGCATGTAACAATCATGAACTCAAAATTAATCCTGACCCAAAACGTTGAAATAAAACATGTATTTTGTTGCTGACCAGCTCCGGGCGTACGCTGATAAGGTGCTCACGACATGGCGGGAGCTGGCCGACATGTCGGACAAGCAGCTCGCCATGTACAACCGCCTCCTGTGCGCCGCCAACGCCTCCCTCATCAACACCCTCAGTGCTGAGCGCGTCGGGTGAGCAACTTGCTGGGCTACTAAGTAATTTCAAACTTCGATGACGAATCTTAAATAAATTTTAATACAATTATACTTCATATTCCCATTGATCAAATGTCTAAGCGTTACTTACATTAGACGGAAATTGATGTTTATAATAGCATGCGTAGCACACGATGGCACTCATGAAGGCGTTACTTACATACCAGAAATTGACGTTTAGAATAGCATGTGTATCAAACGTATCACTCGATGACACACAAAAAGACCTGCAACAGAGAGGCAGCATGATCATTTATAAACATTTTCTACCTGCAGAAACGCCCTGACTTACCTCGGGTCCACCCTAGCAGGCTGCAGCAGAGAGAAGGTGTTGGCGCCCCTGGCATTGAAAGCGACCGCTTACTACCCTCCTGCGATGTCTAAAGCCCAGGTAATGGTGGCTTTCTACCCTCCGTGATGTCAAAACTCTATTAATGCTTGCTTAATACCCTCCGCGACATCTTATATATATAATTAAGCCCAGGTAATGGTGGATTCCTCCCACCCGCGAAGTTAAAAATCCAGGTGAAGTGGCTTTCTCCCCCAATTGTTGTTTAAAGACCAAATAATGTTAGTTTATCTTCCCAACTTGTCGTCTCAAGTCTTATTTATGTTGTCCGACTACTTATACCCCGAGTTGGGTACTTTTAAAGAAAAACCCTGCTGCACTTTTTCAACATGAGCGCTTGTTAGTTCGAAGCCTCATGAGTAGAAAATGAATTGCACGAAATGGGTAATGCACTAACCCATATTATGAGCCATCAAGAACGCATGGATTTTACTAACTACTCGGGATTTCAGGAACGTGTAAAAAACTTTTGCGAGGGACACGATCAACTTATTCTTTCTTTGCCGGATCTTCAACTGCCTCCACCATAAGGGGTGCACTTCTACATCGTCCTTTTCGGCGGCAGTGATGTTGTTGCGAAGAAACTTCCCACCCTGCCTGCATTAATTAACCTTTTCTTACACCAAGAAAAGTTCGCAGCACGTTATTTCCTGCTGGTAGCGGCGTCATCTCAGGTACGGTACGGGAGATTGGTGCTGTGTTCGCCAGCATTGTTCCGTATTTAAATTATGGCATCGTACGTTACTCATATCGTCATATCTCAGGTACGGGAGATTGGTGCAGTTTTCGCCGGCATTGTTCCGTATTTAAATTTTGGCATCGTACGTTACTCATTTCGTCATATCTCAGGTACGGGAGATTGGTGCAGTGTTCGCCGGCATTCCATCCAACAAAACTCGTTTGATCGACCCGAGCGCCTTCGCCGGCATCCAACCTGTCTCTCTGCTCGCCATGACCATGGAAGAGATAATGGTACGTGACTGCTGACACTATTCACTTATATTAAATTAATTAATTAAATTACGCAACCACAAAACAAATCACATGGAATGCAACACCAAACCCCCTGTTCTCATTGAACCTCTGGCTCATCGTGGACTCTTTGACGGCCTTGTTTTCCCGGTTAGCTAATTACCACAGGTCTGCCACTTGTCCTAACTGTTGCTAGTATGTACACGACTATTCACTCGTGTTATGTTTCTTTTAGCATTATTGTTGTTATTAACCATCCAGTCGTCAATTTATATTTTTTAAATGTGGAGCAAATATGCAGGGGTTGGACCAAAACCTTGAAAATTAATAAAATATTTTGCTATATTTAGTTGCACCACCTTTTGATTCAATACAGATTCACTTCATCGCAGTGTTGGTTCATGTATATTTTGTATGGTTCAATTCTTTTATTCCATTATTTAGGTAATTAGAATTCTTCCAAGTAACTCACGGACAGAGAAAAAACGGTCTTGGTTCAAATCCCTTTTGTCTTCTTTCAAACGTACGCCGAAGTCAGATGTAAAGTTGAAATACGAGTTTCCGTAAAAAATCAAATATTGCCACTGCTCATAGGAGCAATTATGAAACTTTTTACTCCGCTCTAAACGTTTTGAATAATTAATTTGTCATCAAGGGCAGAGCTTATAACTACCTGATTGTGCTTCTCGTTAACCGGTTATTGTAGAAACCGGGTTCTGTTGGCGCTCATTTAGCTGTGCATTGATACTAAGAGCCTTGAGATATATGTCAAAAAATTTACTACTCCAACTGACGTCTTCAGACAACATTTTCCTTATTTTACATTAAATGCAAGATGTTTTGATCATATAAAGTAATATACTGTAGTGCACACGGTAGTGTGTGTAGTATTGTATAAGGTTGGTAAACTACATGTTACTTTGGCGTTGAATACTATACGGAAATATTGGCTGTTAATTTCATTTTCTTATTTATCACAAAAACACTCCCTATAATTTGCCACTGTTACTCCTGGAGGCGCTGAGTCCAGCGCAGCTAAGCAGTATTTCGGAAGCGACTACAATGGCCGTATCCGAGCGCTTCATGGGTAACTCATCTACTGCTGGCAGTGGGACGACCAACGGCAACACGATCAACAGAGGAAATGGGACCGCCATCAACGGAGGCAACACGATCAACAGAGGCAATGGAACCATCAACGGCATCATGCCCCCCAGGGGCAATATGACCATTAAAGAAAGTAAGATCACGGAGCCAGGTAGGGTTTCCTCAAGGAGGCAGTAAGCCGTTGGGTAATTAGGCAGCCCTGATAAGTGCAGGTTAGTGGAACGGCTTTGGAGGCAAGGCAGAGATGAGGTGGACGTGTGGAAAGAAGATTTTGCTTCGTAAAAGTGAAGAGTAGGAAAGCGCATTAGGATTTCTGTGAAAACTTTTAAAATACCAGCGTTGCCTAGTACCTTATAGTATCGCTGGCAAGGTCACTACAGAATAGATATCGCTGCATTTTTGGGAAAACCCGATAACATGGATTTTTATTAAGAATTGAATGCTTGAGAATTGATTCATTCGAATGCAACTCAAGGAATAACGGATATAGTATAGATTTAACGCAAAATAGCAGGACAGTTGGTCATCATATGAAAAGGGGTTCTTTTTAACAGACTTCGTATATTACTTCTAATTATCTACTCGTATTTTATATGGGTGTGCTTCAAGAAAATTTTGTGTTCCTTTTCAACTCAATCTTGCAACACGTCTTCTGTTCTATTATCTGAAATTCAAATTGTTGTTTGCCAGCATTATGCGATAGTAAACCGCACCAGTATGGTAGTGCACTTCAGTTGTGATACATATTTATCCAATACAAATGATGGATCATAAGCACGAGCATGGTTGTGCTGTCCACTTTGCGATACGATGTATACTAACTTAGAGAAGCTGGGCAGTTTCATGACAAAGTGATAATTCGGAAGTCTGCAAAAATGTCATTATGTAGAAAATAATTCAAGATAGAAAAGGTCAATGCGGTTGGAAATTCGTTCCTTTTGCACAAAATAAAAACTTACAATGAACTTTAATTATTTCGCTTATTCAGTGTTTAGCTTCAAGATTCTTCAATTAAAGATGAATAATGAGAGCGAACACCGCAGACGATGCATCAGAACTCATGTTTGAGCTTTAATTCCACAATCTGCCGGGCGGATGACAGCCTGATTGTTGACAATCTTTGGCTATTGATATTTAAAATAGGAGGGTAACGGAATATCATCGGTTGACTATTGACAATGTTCATTAAATGCGCCTTTAATGCCGAGATAATATCATGTGTCATGCACACATGATACAAGGAAACATTGCACATTTGGAAGATTGTATATGCCTTTACTTGTTAGCATAAGGCAACTTCGGGAAGGCTGCAGCATGCAGAAATTAAAGAAGCCTTCTTCAAAAATGTTCTACCTGTTACTTAAACTTTTCTTAAATACGATACTTGACATTCAACGGTGCTTGTATGAAGATTGAAAGATTATAAATCTTTTTTTTAATCAAGTATACAGAATGCGCAATGTTCGCACTTGAGAAGCTCCATATTACCTTCGAAATCATTTATATCCTCGCTTTTCTTTTACAAGTTGTTGTTTACACTGTCATGCTGAGCACTTCTAATCAATTTAATTGATGTTTAGGCACTGAGGCGAAGGTTTCATCTGATTTAATATATGTATGTTTATTCTGATATGTTTATCAGGGGCTTCAGTTTCAAAAATATTGACAAAGGGGTTTTTATTTCAGCAAGTGTGCAACCATATAAGGAACGCCTTGATTTTCTTTTCTTGATAAAATGTAAAAATCATTTATTTACAACTTGCTTTCGTTTGCATTGCAAAGTTGAAAGCAAACCCTTTTCGTTGCTGGACTACTGTAGTTTTAATTTTTATTCTCAATCTAAGTGCTTATGTCGCAAGTGAACTTTATTTTTACATGTTTCACTTCGCTGTAATTAATGTTATTCATTTTAATTCATTATTAAATCATACGATGCTTCGTTAGAAAAATGTATATGTGTGCACTTACTCTGGCTGAGTTTAAAATCCCATTTTCTTGAAACTGGTTAACACCAAGATAATTTGGAACTACTCACTTTGGGTGACGACCGACTAGACCAAGTCAGTGATACCCCCGCTGTCCCTGAGAACTGCATGTATATAGGCTTAGCTAATATAAGTGGCTAGTGTGTAACTATAAGTGGCTAGTGTGCGACAACTATAGCCTTTAACTGAAAGTTTTCCTTATAACCGTTTCCTAGTTAATGGCCGTTATAAGTGGCTAGTGTGCGACAACTATAGCCCTTAACTGAAAGTTTTCCTTATAACCGTTTCCTAGTTAATGGCCGTTATAAGTGGCTAGTGTGCGACAACTATAGCCTTTAACTGAACGCTTTCCTTATAACCGTTTGCTAACTTTATTAGACAAGTGCTTGAAAGGACTGCCTCTTTTTATTATCCTATAATAATTACGAATAAAGTCAGCTGGTGAGACGAAGTTAGCGTATTGTTTTGCCGCATGGCTATAACAGCGACCAAGGGTGGACTATTCCTCAGTTTCATATAGTGCGATCAAGCAGTAATATAATAGTGACCTAACTACACTGATAGATACGTATCTATATGATTATGATTAAATTACGAAGGTAATTCGTAATTGAAATATTCAGACTTGTGTATTGTGGATTGTCAAGATATTGTTGACGATGATTCAATTAACGACTGTGAATAAATGCGAGGCCTGTAGTAATAACGAAAAATGTACGACATAGAACAAACTGAACAGAAAGAGGAGGCAGGAATCTAAATGACAAAAACGAGACCAAAAAATTGCGGTACGTACAGGTTTAGGACATTGGTGGGCACTTGCATGGGGCCAAGCTTGGGTTGGTTTGGAAAAGTAGGGGAGGAACCCTTTAAGTTTTAGATGAGCTCGCACGGAGTAGCAGGAGGTTAGTGACTGGTTCATTACTTACATTTCAGCGTAATTAAATGATGTTGAAAGATGATGCATGTTGTCGTTATTTTAGTCTATTGAACACCATGTTGCATGATGTCTACGTTTGTTTGGTTGGTGTTGTGTTGGGCTTTCTCGTACTGTGTTAGATGTATAGCCTGTTTACGATATGGGTATAGTTGGCCTCAAGTGTACGATAGTTGAGTGTAATGATGCATTAAATGTATGTGTGGTCTTTGGTACCGCATATGACCATGTGGGGCTGTTGGATATTGATTTACAGAGTATCTTCATATAGTTATAGGTTTTTTAGATTTAGGCTTCGTTAAAGAGCGCCGGTAAATGGGTCGGCAAAATAGTTTCGTGTCCTTTGCCCACTGGCATCAGCCTGTCGAGTTCAGGACGTGAGCGTCCTTAATATCCTTAGTATCCTTAGTATCTTTAGTATCCTTAGTATCCTTAATATCCTTAGTATCCTTAGTATCCTTAGTATCCTTAATATCCTTAGTATCCTTAATATCCTTAGTATCCTTAGTATCCTTAGTATCGTCTCCCATTGGATGAGACATGAAGCGTAAGGATGGGAGACGGATTAAGAACATAATGGTACTGACATTCAAATTATTAAATGGAGGATATGAAAGGAAGCACTGGAAGAATAGGACACTAGTTTTAACAGTCGCACACTCTCGGGTTTTGGAACTGCAACTCAGGGTAGAGAGAGAAAGAGAGCACTGCACTTAGAACGGAACAACAGAGCACATCAATCCAAGTTTGTTCGGATGATTGAAATAATGATTATAATTATGAAATATTATATTATAATTATTACTGAATATTGATGTCTTTGAAAATACTTAGTGGATGTAGTGAAAGCACTTACGTAGGTCTACTTGCATGCCGTTGTGATATTTTTTATATTTAAAATTGATATTCTGGCTTATCTTTTTCTGATAAAATTATGCCTTTTATAACATTGATGAAAATGTTATAAAACATTGTTATAACATTGATTTTATTCCGTTTTCTTAAAACATTGGTTATAATGTATCAACGACACAACTGCTTGGAGGGGGTGAACCGGTGTACGGCTCCTCGAATATCTCCTGTCCGCAGGACTGACGGCGGCTGCTGCCCTTCTGGACCGACTTTTTGATGTCTTCTCCTGGTAAATAATTGGCAATTGCATCGTCATGGATGTCTACAACGCGGCAACAAGAGCAACTGCAGCAGTAAATCCTTCTAGATCCTAGCAGTAAATCCTTCTAGATCCCACCAGTAAATCCTTCTAGATCCTAGCAGTAAATCCTTCTAGATCCTAGCAGTAAATCCTTCTAGATCCTACCAGTAAATCCTTCTAAATACTAGCAGTAAATCCTTCTAAATACTAACAGTAAATCCTTCTAGATCCTAGCAGTAAATCCTTCTAGATCCTACCAGCAAATCATTCTAAATACTAGCAGTAACTACTTCTAAATACTAGCAGTAGATCCTTCTAAATCCTAGCAGCAAATTCTTCTAGATCTGAGCAGTAAATCCTTCTAAATCCGAGCAGTAAATCCTTCTAGATCCGAGCCGTAAATCCTTCTAGATCCGAGCGGTAAATCCTTCTAGATCCCAGCAGTAAATCCTTCTACATCCTAGCAGTAAATCCTAGATCCTAGCAGTAAATCCTTCTAGATCCTACCAATAAATCCTTCTAAATACTAGCAGTAAATCCTTCTAGATCCTAGCATCAAATCCTTCTCTAGCAACAACTGTGGAAAATAATACAACCGATATCGAATTTCCATCACTGCTACTTCAGCGTCACATAAAATGATATACTTCATCAATATTATGAGGCTATCTTAATAATTATTGGAGAACCTGTTGCTCTGAAATATCGTCCCAGAAAAAATGTGTAAATCCTTTAATATACAAAATGCAAAGAGGAAAAAACTGCTATTCTAACTTGACATCACTTCAGAATTAGCCGCATGAATGTGCTTGCTGAAATCAGAAGGATTTTCATCTGAAATATCCTGCAAAAACAAATGATATTTACACTCAAATTTGAAGAAAATATTGTTCGTGTGAATATAGCCACTAAATGAATCAGAATACTGAATAAATTATTTATGGTTCAACGCATCATAATTAACAAACAATACACAGCAGCAATTGGATGTCGACTTGCGACCTGAATATTGCATTTATTTATCATAGTAAGAGCTTGGCATTTACATACGCATAATTCGCTTACGAATAGCAGGAAAAACGTGTGTGAAATATCGAATAATGTTTGCCATTTCGATTCCTTATAGGCCTACGAGTCATTGAATTGTTTCATTTATCGAATTTCATTCATCGTTCAATTATTCATTAATTGAACGATTTCATTTATCGAATTTTACTCATCATTCAATTATTAATTGACCGATTCATTTAATGAAGTTTATGCATAACTAAATTAAAATAAAATGTATGTATTATCTTATTGCATTTAATTAAAGTTAGGTAGTTCACCAGTGGTGATATTATATGGACGTGGTTGTCTCGACGTGCCTTTAATGGGTCCGTTATTGAGTGTGAATTTGCATATTTATTCATTAGAGCGTTTAACTGTCCACAAACTGGATTTTTATAATATCTAATGCACTGATTTATACTGAATATTATCTAGCAAGTCTATTTCCATCCGACCGTTTCAGAAATCAGTTTATATATTTTTTCATTTAGCAGCCTATGTTATCATAGCATCGAATTATCATTTTTTTAATTAGAGGTTAAGATTCATGTTGAGTTTCAAATGCCTGTTGTATCTTAGGCTGTTTTAAAAGCTTTTTAAAATTAAAAAAGTTTTCATCATAAGATGCATTTCACAATCGCTGTTGGATTACATGTTTATGTAAAATATATGATGTATTCATTACGATATACATTTCACAATCGATCATGGACGACATGTTTGTGTAAAATATATGATATATGGATTCTCTGGTGACACTATCTACTGTCTTGTAATGCCATGCAAGCTACCACAAGAGTCCATAATTCATTCTTCTCACCCTTACTTTTACACACTCATCATGTTGATCATGATGAAAGATCCTGCCCATGCTGCAGATATACCAACGGTGCTTAGATATTCTGCTAGCCTAACGCTGTTCAGGTTACACTGTCATATGCTGCTTCAAAGCCTTGCAGTCTATGTAGCAATCATGAATTATAATTATTTATTTAATTATGCTGCTTAATAGACTTGCAGTCTATTAAGTAATTAGGAATTATTATAATTTATTTTTAACTATGCTGCATAACAGGCCTGCAATCTATCCAGCGATTATGAATTATTAGTATAATTTATTTAATTATGCTGCTTCCCAGACCTGCAGTCTATTAAGCAATTAAGAATCATTAAAATTTATTTAATTATGCTGCTTCACACACCTTCATGCAGTGTATGCAGCATTTATGGCCGTGTATAATTGAAGGTTCCTAGCCCACTTTACCTAAGCTACTGCAGCCTACGAAGCGACATCCTCTAAAAAGCAATACTGTCCGTTTCATTACAAAACCATTGTGCATTTCATTTCAGGTTGTGTGTGCAGCATGAAGATTCAGTATTATTCGGTGCTACAGTCGAGTTGATAATGTGAATGAACTTACAATAAATTATTTCTTGATTATTATTTATATACCAATATTTTGTTCTTATTATTTTTTAAACCAAGAAGCGATTCGTTATCCACTCAGCTTGTGTGTTTCACATCTGTTTTTATTACATCCTGATGGCATCCGACACTGTTCGTCATATATGAGACGAAATCAGATGCAAAAACGTAATTAACATTCACGATAAAGTTTAACTAACTGTACTGCAATCAAGAAGTACTTATACAGCTCATATTTATTATTTAGCACAGTATTTTTTATACAAATCTTGGGTTGGAGGGAGACTGGCGTATATCTTACTAGAACGTAGATCGTTAGGTGCGTTTTGTCTCAGGCTGCCTCAACAAATTATTAATATTTATAATTATTATTAATTTACTTATAATTAGCTCGTATATTTTTACGCATTTTTAAGTACACTGAACTTTGTGGTGTGGGAGTGATATTATAAGTACTAGAAAATGTAGTAAATGTCGACTGCGCGACTTCTGCGAGACTGCGAAGATATTAGCTAATTTTTTATGGAAACACGAATAAAGTGAAATAAGATTTGCCAGCAGATGTATATGTACACGGGCTTGGTAATATGTGCGCGCAGCAGTTAAGCAGCTTATTATCATTGAAAATTTTCATATCGCACATGATGTGATACTATCATGATGGTCGTGTTATAGCATGATGTGATGCTACCATGACCTCCTGGCCATAGCATGATGTGATGCTACCATGACCTCCTGGCCATAGCATGATGTGGTGCTACCATGACCTCCTGGTCATAGCATGATGTGATGCTACCATGACCTCCTGGCCATAGCATGATGTGATGCTACCATGACCTCCTGGTCATAGCATGGTGTGATGCTACCATGACCTCCTGGCCTGGCAATACCAGTGACCTATAATAGGAAACGATCAAATTATAAGCCATATAGGAAACAAAGTCAAGCATAACAACAGCTCTCGCAGCTTCTGCACGAATGATAGACAAACTTCCATGTCACTCACAGAGGTCCACTACGGTGCACGTTTCCGAAGAGAGTTGTTGGCACCAATGATGATTAGGATATTAATCCAAAGATATTAAATATATAATCATCACAGACGTTATTGTAACTTATTAAACCGGCTTCAACGTCAGCTAAATGAAGCAACACGTAATAGTGTACTTGAATAGCAATGAATATATTGTTATAGACTGGAAGACCAGTGTGGCATCGGTAGCCACGGTGAAGACGCCACCGAGGCTTTAACAATTTAGATGTGGCTATACTTCCAAACAGAATTTTCTTTCTTCAACTCGGTTTACTTTGTAGGGTGGCCCAGTGGTTACAGTTTAGAGTAACAAGAATGGCGCAGAGAGGCGCGGGTTCGATCCCAGTTCTGTGCGCCAGTTTCTGGTCAGAATCGGCAAGGAGGCTGGGCGGTTAAGCAGAGAAAATTTGAAGCAGTGAGTTGCTAGTTCGAGACCGCAACAAGCTGTGAACTTTCTGCGATGTTAAGAATCGGCGACAAGCCTACGGATTAATAAACGCTGAAACCGCTATTATTATTATTATAACTGAGGATCAACTAGCCTGCGTGGCTTTTTTGCTTCGATGGTGAATCGTTGTCGCTCGAAAACGCATCCATGGCCACCCTTCAAAAAAAAATTTTAAATTAGTTTTCTGCGGAATACATACCAAAATTGACGTTTCAAGTCCCTGCCATTGAAGACATATTCATATAAGCATGTAACACTAATTCATGAAAATTTTAATACGATGCATATTCCCAGAAACATTATGTCTGCATATTAATTCATATTGTTTACATATTAATTAAATGTTATAATCTTAGCTTTAAGTTTCCTGAATCTTGAAGCAAATAAACATGCCGGCAATGGCGCTCATTGGACGTCAAATTCGTTTTGTAACTTGTGCTGGAAGTGTAAAAAGACGGCATGTTTTATATCAAATTCTGTTGATAATCTACAATAAATAATGTATCGCATAAATTCTATCGAATTTGTTAGAAATTAAGAGAAATAATTAAACAAATTATAAACGGGTTAAATAAGACATATACGCAATTCATCTCACCGTACACCTCCATTCAATTAGGTTCTCAGCTCGCTTTTTGACGTCAGGCTGCAGCCCGGGATTTAGGAGCAAGTAGATGCAAAAGATATTAAAAAATAAACGGTGGAACGCTAACCATGTGTCACCATCGGTAGTTCCATTTCAGTCAACCATTTCTCTGATTACAATTTCCTAGTGAACAAAATTCAATGATTTTTGCTCCAAAGAACTATAGATAGAAAAAGATCACTGTTAGTCCATCAGATGCGTTATTAAAAGTGCTATTTATCATTATAATTCAACTGTAATACTCGCTTTGGAATTTTAAAATATATAAGTCGTTGGTTGTCTTCAAACAAGTTCGTTCAAAAAAAATACAATAACATGGGCTCAGAACCGAGTCAAAATAGCAGTTAATGATTAACTCTCATTAGAGGCATAATCATTTTTGGGCGCTCACTGAAGGCAGTCTCTGAAGAGCAGTCATCGAATAGCTGTCACTGCATGGCAGTCTCTGAACAGCAGTCACCGAAGAGCTGTCACTGCATGGCAGTCTCTGAACAGCAGTCATCAAAGAGCTGTCACTGCATGGCAGTCTCTGAACAGCAGTCACCGAAGAGCTGTCACTGCATGGCAGTCTCTGAACAGCAGTCATCAAAGAGCTGTGACTGTAGGGCATTCTCTGAA